CTGAGTCTAAATAAGACTTCTTTACTTTTATTTCTTTCCTTCTCCTATTATATTCTTTGGGCTTACTGTTTTCTCTATTTCTCGTACACAAAGTCATGGCTCATCTTAAATTATTAGAAAATGTACAGTTTGGGGCACCTAACTTCAGATTCAGAGTTACCAAGTTTTCTGTAACAACAAAGCAACAATAAGTTTCCAAGGCTTCAAGTTCTGGCAACGTCACTAAATAGGGCAACCAAAAGAAACCAGGGCTTTACTAGGGCTTCAAGTTTCACTAGATCTTTGCAGTTCTAGGTCGTGATTTTGTGAATTGCTAGATTAATATCTCTAAGTTGTATGAGACATAAATAAAATACCTTATAAGTATTTCATCCATCATACAAAGCTCTACTACTCTCTGCTGGGGCTATGGTTTACAACTACATGTCTAATTAACAATCCTGAAGTGGACAAACTACGTCAGTGAAAACTTATCAGATGATTAAAGAAATAATCTGTTTACAATTTACCACTTTTGTGTCCTTCCAATAATCCCTTGATTTTAAGGGCAAATAATTTAAGAACAATTGTCTAATATAATTACTCTTTTTAAAATATCTTTATTTCGTTTATTCATTTTTATGTGGTGCTGAGGATCGAACCTAGTGCCTCACATGTGCAAGGCAAGCACTCTGCCACTGAGCCACAACCCCAGCCCCATAATCACTATTTTTTCATGAAGTTTCTTGTCCTTATGCAGTGGCAATCTATTTTCCATCTGAATTATTATCCAGGCACAACTAAGTAAGATACATAAGAATTCTTTATTTTAGATAAGAATTTTACTAATTTTAGCTCATTTCATTTGGCACTATATATATTCATTTACAGATACAGGTGCAAATATAACTGGAATTATTTTATAAACTATTCATGTCTATTGTACTTCATGATAATTTCCTCCAAAATCTGGAACTGATTTTTTCTTTAAATATTAAATGAAAATGATAACTGAGCTGGAATCACAAAATAAAAAAGTTTATCTCCCCAACAATGTCAATTTTGTCATAAAAATGCATCCTTTTGTATCCCTACTAGCTGAAATTCTCCAATACTCCTGTTTGGGAAAGCTGGATATTTTAATTTTAAATGGAAAATACATTGTGAATATAAAAAAGCATTATTTGGAGGTATCCCCAGGAGATTTTTACAAGATTAATAAACTAAAATGCTAAATAATTTCCATTTACTCACTCACTAAATAAACATTTGTTCATCCCAGTTGGTCAGACTCTGAAGTGGGGAGGGAAGGTGAAGACAAGCACATATATGCAAATAGCAAAGAAGATGAAGTGTAGGTCATGATCAGTACTAAGAAGAAAATAAACTCAGAGCTGAGACAAAGACTGCAACAAACTGCAGAAACAAACTGTAATCCAGATTAGCCACAAACACACTTAATAGATTGACATCAATGTCTTTCCAGAGTGCCTTTAAGACCTCTTGACATTTACTTAGGTTCCTAGGATCAAAGCTCATCAAGCTTACCTTAGTTTCACTTGACAGGACTAAAGCTAGTCAGTGAAATCGCTAACAGAATATAAAGGACATCATCCATTGAGCAGAACCTTTCTGATTAGACTTTTGATTTTATATTATGTGATCGCACATATTATCCAAACTATACATTTTCAAGAGAGAAAAGGGATGTTTCAAATAATTATGCTAGAACAAGCATTAATGATGATTCCCACCAGGGTAAACCAGGACATATAGTCAAACTAATTCTATACCACATCAAAAGTTAACTAGTCAAAAATTTCCAGAGCACTATATAGTTTGAGGTATATTTAAATTATAAGTACTCTTCAAATAAAAGACCCAAATTATAGCTGGATGCAGTAGAAAACAAACAGCCTGTAATCCCAGCAACTCAGGAGGATGAAGAGTTCAAAGCCAGCTTCAGCAAAAGTGAGGTGCTAAGCAACTCAAGTGAGATCTTGTCTCTAAATAAAATACAAAATAGGGCTGGGGATGTGGCTCAGTGGTCAAGTGCCCTTGAGTCCAAATCCCAGAACCTCTGTACCCCAAACACAAAAAACCTAAATCATAATATGGACCCATATAAGCCAAATGACTTATCTAACTGCCTCACACCATACACAAAATCTGTTTTAGGTGCATTATATACCGAAAGGTAAAAAAAAGCAAAATCAAAGTATTTTCCATGACACCAGAGAAAAATACTATACCACACCAAAAAGGGCGAAAAAGCAAAGGAAAGAAAAGGGGAAAAAAGGAAAGCAAAGCAAAGTAAAGCAAAGGAAAGAAGGGAAGGGAGCAAACAAAGAAGGAAAAAGACCAGTCCACTAACCATCAAAGAAAAGCCTGATAAACATGTCACATTAAAATGAAGAACTGTTCATCATAAAAAACTACTAAATGGGAAAAGATATTTGCAACATAAACATCCAAGTAAGGATTTATATTCAAATCCAGAATTCTATAAAAAGACATGCATTTAAATAGAAAAATGGGCAATAAATTTCAGAAGGACTTCATGAAAAATGAAATTCAAATGGCCAAGATATGAAAAGACATCCAACATCATTAGTAGTCAGGGAAATGGAGATTAAAATCACATTCAACTAGTTTGGCTAGAATTAAAATATATAATGCCAAGTATTACTGTTGTCAAGGAATATGGAGCCATTAGAACTGTAACATACTAATAATTGAGGTAAAAGGTAATAAACTATTATTATGGAAAACTGTTTGGCATTACCTAATAAAGACACATGTTCCCTATGTTTCTGCAATTCAAATTCTAAGTATATAGCTTCAAGAAAAATATCCAAACAGCCGGGGTGGATAAGGCAGGAGGATTGCAAATTCAAGGTCAGCTTCAGCAAATCAGTGGGGTCCTAAGCAACTTAGTGATCCCTATCTCAAAATAAAAAATAAAAAGGAATAGGATCTCCATATGTAAGAATACATTCTAATTCTGTGAGCAAACTTTCAATTTTAATCTGTTAGACTACCATTCTTCAAATTCTGAAAAAGTAGACTTTTCAGATATTACATTATTCAACAAGTCATGTAAACTGTAAAATTTTAAGACTGAACTCCTCACTTCAAGAAATAGATAATATAATCAAGATCTGGCAACTCCACTTTTTGTAAGCATGATTAAATTCCAAAAAACCCATTATATATTAACTCATACTTCTTAAGAAAAAGAATACATTTATGTATGGACTAAATACCAATGTAATGGGCTGGGGTTGTGGCTCAGTGGTAGAATGCTTGTCTATCAAGTATGAGGCACTGGGTTCAATCCTCAGCACCATATAAAAAAATAAATTAAATAAAATAAAGGTATTGGGACCACTTACAACTAAAAATATTTTAAGAAAATATCAATGTCATAAATGCAAATTAAATGATTAAACATTTTTAATTGCTGTATTCATATTGTTAAATTCATACATTGTTACGACAAAGGAACAAATTGTTTGATGTCATAAATTTAATGTGATGAATTTAACTATTACAAATACAATATTTATTGATTTTAGTATCTGTTGAAGAGACACATTTAAACATGGAACATTAAAATACACATCTTTAGGTTCATGTACAAAAGTACATAACTTTTAAGAAAACGATTGAAATTAATATCTTGGAAATCTCAAATGTATGAACTCTTTTCTTTGTGAGAAGTAAAGGGAACACAGCCAACTCACTGATAAATCACTAAGCTGGCAAGACATCTTTTAAATTCAGATCTTTAAAAAATATATTTTTAAAAAAAAGTTATTAATGGGTTGGGGCTGGGGCTATGGCTCAGCAGCAGAGCACTCGTCTAGCATGTGTGAGGCCCTGGGTTTGATCCTCAGCACCACATAAAAATAAATAAAAATAAAGGTATTGTGTCCATCACAACTACAAAAAAAATTTTTCTTAAAAAGTTATTAAGCTGCTTTAATGAGAAACACTGTTCTCAACCTATATGTGGTTCTCACCAAGTATTTTAGAGAACATTTTTCATGATTTCATAAAGACATAAAACTAAGCCACTACAGTATACAGTCAAATATAAAAAACTTAATATAAAAATAGTTTTTAAAGAACAACCAAAATAAGTCATTTAAGATGCATTACTGGTCAAGTCTTTTAATAACCACTAAACAAAATTATGCACCCTGAAGTAAAGTGAGTTTCTAAACAGATGACAAAGAACTAACCCATTTTAACAGGCAATGAATGAGTCATGAGAAGACTGCTGGCTAAAGCAATCCTCCTGCTTCAGTCTACCAAGTAGCTGGGACTATAGCAAGAACCACAGAGGTCACTGTTTTTCAGAAAAAAAACTTGCTAAGTTTTAAAAGCATGCGATTCAAGTATTTTTTTTTTTTTAGTAAATTTACTGAGTTGTGCAATTATCACCACAATCCAACTGTAGATCATCTTAAACTACTCTTTTATAGCATAAGGTTCCTTTAAAAAAATTTTTTTTTTGTTAGTGCTGTTGATGGAACCCAGAAAGCAGGGCCTCAAGCACTCTAGGCAAGTTCTCTACAACAGGGTCACACTCTCAGTCCCAATAGTACACAGTTCTGTAATATAAAGAGATTCTTTACCCAGGTATAAGGTTTGTCTCAACACTAGCACTATTAAAAGGGACTAATAGAGCATTTAAAAAATGCCATTAAAACTTTTTTGCTACTGTGAAACAACTTTTCTATCAATTAACGAGTTAATAATTTTAGATTCAGAAAATTTCTTCCTACCCTGGACATCTGTCCCTACCATGTTATGCTGTTTATAATAACTCTGAGATGCTGGGAAAATTACCTGGGTAATCTTGCTTCTCCTTCTCCGTGATACAAACTGTTGTGAGATTTCCTTTCCGATTAGAGGCTAAAGTTTATTTTCTTTCTGATTTCCTGACGGAGCAAAGGCCCTATGCACGTGAACGGAAACAAAACCCACAGACTTCGCGATGCTTACTAAATACTCTGGGTAGGGACACCTTCCTCCTCAACAAATCTCCCTTTCCAAGCGCGCATCTACCGGTGTCGGTCAGCGGCCACAGACCACTCAGATCTGAACCTGAACTGTGAGCAAGGGTCCTGGGTCAAGCTTAAACTTTCCTACCTACCATGTTTCCAGAAACAGTCCCTTGGGGTCAACAGCAAACATTTTGATGTGCACTCTAAAGAGACGGTTGCACAACTGGGAAACAGGAGGATTCCGGTTTAACAGGTAACTATCACAGATGAGACAAGTGGGATGTGATCTGCTCGATGGTCAATGGCATTTCGAGATCATACGTGTCGCACATTGAACCCAAAGTTTTGGCACATTACTTTATCGTTCACTTGAGGAAAATTGCAACGAGTTGAAATTAAGAACGTGGAAAAAAAAATGGGTGCAGGGGAATCGACGAGTCAGCACTAAACTCAAGGTAGGCGGAAAAATTCTTTGAATACTCCGGCTTTGTTTGGCGACGAGACGACAGAACCACCGAATTTCGGAGTTGGAAGACACGTATCTCGGTGTTCTCCGGTCGGTTCTCGGACTTCAGCACCGCCCCGATCGTCGCGCACTCGGTCCCGTAGTTCCCCGGATTTAAGGCGGGGACCTCCGGGGAGCTCGGGGAGGCCGCGGCCCGGCCCGCGACGCCGGGCCGGGAGGGAGCGGCCTCCCCGAGGACGACCGAGGGAGGAGGTGGGCGCGAAGAGGCCGCGGGCCGAGAGCGGCGTGCAGCCCCGAGTGAGTGGACGCCCGGCCCGGTCCCCCACCCCGAGGCCGGCCCCGGCATACCTTTGGCGAGGGCTACGGTGGAGTTCTCGGTGTCGATGGTGTAGAGGATGCCCTCGTAGCGGATCTCCGCCTTGGAGATGAGGCTGATCTTGCTGCCGATGTAAGGGGTGCCCCCGCTCATGGCGCCGCCGCCGCCCCTCCGGGCCGCTCGCAGAGAGGCAGATCCCACGCCGCTGTCGCCGCTCCGCACGCCCGCTCGCTCCGTCGGCGCCTACAGCAGCCGCCTCAGATCCAACATGGCCGCGGCGCCGGCTCCGCTACCCTCCCCCAGCCTCCCGCCCTCAAACCGCGGCGCGGCGGCGGCGGCGGCGGCAGCGGAGGCGGCGCGGGGCATGCTGGGCGGGCGAGGCCGAACTCTCGCGAGACTCGGGCGACCGCGGGCCGCTCCCGATTTTTCGGCGGCGTCTGTAAGTCCCAGTTGCGCCGCTTGGCCTGGTCTTAGAGTTTAAGGGGAATTCCGGGCAGAGGTGCAGTGTTTCATGACTCTGGGACACCGTGGCGGGACTGGAGAAGTGCTGGTCTCCTTTTTTGGCCCTGACCTTGGCCTCCGCCATTTCCAGACGCGTCGTACTTTGTCAGGAGCCCAGTGCCTCCGTAAACAGTTCCCTCTACCTGGAAAGTTACCTCCGGCCTCCAAGCTCCGGGAGAGCTGCAGGTCGTCCTTTTAAGCCGGCTTTTCACCCTGCTGAGCCAACCGCGCCCTCTCGGAGCTCTCAGGGAGCTGTTACAACATCTGTCACACTAAACGAGTGCCCCTTACCTCGGCTCGGCATCCCGGGCTGCTCGCAGAGGAGCTGGGACTCCATTCCAAAGATTCGGTTTTTAGCCCTGTTCTGTCCAACACTTGAAATGCCCGGATCCAAGCTCCTAGCTCTTCATTTTATTGTACACCGACCAATCCCAAGTATTTGCCTGTAACTTTGATCAGTTCTGCGAACTCTTAGTTTCCTATAAAGGATAGTCTCCTTAGCCTTCCAGTTGGAATGTAAGAGTTATCTCTCTTTTTTTTCTTCCACATTGATTCTTTGTTTTTGAATCACTGAGGATTGAACTCTGGGGCGTTCTACCACTGAACTATGTCTCCAACCTTTTTTCATTTTTTTTTTTTTTTTTTGAAATTAGGTCTCACCAACTTTCCAAGGCTGGAAACTTACCCGCCTCCTGAGTGGCTGAAATTTACAGGCTTGCGCCACTGTGAACCTGCTTCAATAGGTTTTACTGGATTCACAGGCAGAGGGATCTTGTTCAAATCTAATTTTACTGGATTCACAGGCAGAGGGATCTTGTTCAAATCTAAGTCAGGTCATGTCCCTCCTCTGCTCACTAATCTTCTGACTCCATGTCACACAAAAGGAAAAACAAGACTCCTTATTTTGGCTTCTTGTTATCTCCTTTCCCCATTCAGTTGCATTTCTCACCTCTGTACACAGAACTTTCACACTTAATTCCGATCTGTGCCCCTGTCACCTCCAGAGATGGCTTTCCTTTCTGCCCTGTTTAAAATATTGCTACTTGCTGGAATCGGTGGCTTGGGAGTCTGAGGCCAGAGGATCTCAAGTTCTCTGCAACTTAAGGAGACCCTGTCTCAAAATAAAAAACAAAAAGGACTGGGGATGTAGTTCAGTGGTAGAGCACCTCTGGATTCAATTCCCAGTACTGCAAATAAATTTTTTTTAAAAAGGGGCTGGGGTAAAGTTCAGTTGGTAGAGGGCTTGCGTTGCATGCACAAGGCCCAGCACCACACACACACACACACACAAAAGTAGTATATCACTTTATATCTCCTTGCTCAGCTTGTTTTTTTTTCCTGCATAGCATTATCTCTCCCCAATATGTCCACTTAGTTATTTGTGTGTGTCCATCTCCTTTACTAGAGTGTTCATGTTTTGAGTCAGGATGTTTTGGTCACTTCTGTATCATTAGGGCCTAGTACAGCACCTGGCTTAGGGCAGCTGCTCAGTGAATATTTGTGGCATGAATAAACAGGAAGATGAATGCAGAGCACAGGCAGGATGTCTGGTGAGCTGAGTGAACAAATGGTGAGAAGCCTGGTGTTACAGAGTGGGGGAAGCAGCAGAGAAATCTAAGAGGCTGCAATGGGGTTGGTGCACAGTGGCTTCAGAGGCAGGCTATGAATCCCTGGTTTAATATAAAGTCAATATCAGGAAGTTGAATTCTTATACTTGTTTTTTTCTTCTCATTATAGGCCTAGGATACAGTTTATCTTTTCATGCTTCTTTAGGTTATCCTTTTCCACAGTCATCTTCCAAAAACTGACAGCTCATCCTTTTCCACAGTCATCTTCCAAAAACTGACAGTTCCCCAATTTACACCTCCATTTTACATCTCCTGACTTCCAGGGTCACATTAACTACATGGTATGCAGTGTGTGTGTGTGTGTGTGTGTGTGTGTGTGTGTGTGTAGCTGAGAATCAAACCCAAGGCATGCTAGGCAAGAGCTCTACCACTGAGCTACATCCCCAGCCTTAAATACACAATAAATGCAATCAGTCACAAGACACTTTCAACTCAAAATATCCAAAATTACTGCATCCACTTCCTTTCTACCCGCAAATAAATTGTTTGTTATCCATGCCCCTTGGCTACATCAAATCCTCACCTAAGTGTCTGCTGTGGTTTATATGGCTTAAGCATGTCCCCCATTGATTCATGTAATGGGAAATCTTGATCCCCAATGTGGCAATATTGAAAGATGGTGGAGTCTTTAAGAGGTGGGCTTGTCATTGGAAGGTATTAATTCTGGTTGCATAATTAAGACTAAGTTGTTATAAAAAGAGCAAAACTCCGGTGGGGTTGTTGCTCAATGGTGGAGTACTTGCCTAGCACGTATGAGAACTGGGTTCCATCCTCAGCACTATATAAAAACAAATAAAGGTATTGTGTCCATCTACAAATAATAGTAATAATAATAATAATAATAATAGCAAGACTTGCCATGCATGGTGATGTACACCTATAATCCCAGTAGCTTGGGAGGCCAAGGCAGAAAGATTATGAGTTCAAAGCCAGTCTCAGCAACTTAGGCCCTAAACAACTTCGTGAGGCCCTAGGCAACTTAGTGAAGCCCTGTCTCTAAATCATAAAAATAAAAGGGCTGGGGATGTAGCTCAGTGGTTAAGTGCCCCTGAATATAATCCCTGGTACAAAAAATAAAAAAGAAAGATTGGCTTCTTCCTGTCTCCACATATGTTTTCTCCTGGTTGAGCATGTTGCCTGCCATGGTGGTATCATGTATAACACAGCCAAGAGGGTCCACCAGAGGGTGAACAGATAAAGAGAGTTGACCTTGAACCTTCAGTCTCCAAAAGTGTGAGCTAAATAAACCTCTTTTCTTTATAAAGTTCCCAGCCTCAGATATAGAAAATGAGTAATACAGTATCTAGTCCTGAAGTCAGGTGTTCTTATTTAGCTATCCCCAGTTGGTCATCAATCTTGTTGATTTTAATTTATGTTCAGTAGATCTGGGTTTCTTGCACCTGAGGGCATCAGGAACCATGCATAAATGCAGTTAATCAGTTTGATAGCCCATAGTGTATTGTACTTATGACTCTATAACTTATTGCTAGAAACCAGGTTGAGAACAGTGACACATTTCACTACCATAGCAGGCTTTCTAAACTCCAGCTCCTTTGTTGCTTCCCTGCTTAAGAGCTCTTGGTACCCCTAGAGTTAAAAATACATCCCTCTCTATTGAATATTTTCAGTAACAGGAAGCTCTCAAATTTGTACAGTGGAGGAGCTAAGAAGTATCAGTCTGGTTGGAAGGAGAGACTATGGGAATTTGAAGATTGTCTTAACTTTTATCTAGCTAGTATGCTGTTTTTCACTTACTTTTTTTCTTGTTGTTGTTGTGAGGCAGGGTGAGTAGCTGATGGAGAATATGGGAGAAACAAGTCCCCCTCACCATCCTTTAATGTGACCACCACTATTCATTTAAGTAACATAAGATGTTGTTGGCCTGCATTTAAGAATCATGTTTTTGGGAAAAATACATCCTTTCAAACAACAGAACCACTCTTATTGGGTGAGATGTTCATTCTATGAGAGACATGCTGAAACTGAGAATAATGAATGATTCAATGGAAGTGTCCCCCACCCCATGTTTGCTCTTGAGTAGAATGGTTACCGATTTCTACCTCTCACTCTTTTCAGAGTGTGATCATTGAATTTACACTGGTAAAGGCAGAGATGATACAATTTCACAGTTATCTGCTTTTTAATTAAAAGGAGTCCTCTGTATATATGTTTTTATTTCTAACTTTAAAATGAGAAAACTAAGCTGGGCCTGGTGGCACATGACTAGATTCCTAGCTACTCCACAGGCTGAGACAGGAGGATTGCTTGAGCCCATGAGTTCGAGACCAGACTGGGCAAAATGAATGAAGGAATAAATGAATGAATGAATAAATAAATAAAATGAGAAAAACTGATACTTAGGGAAATCAAGTAATTTAGGCCCAGGATCAAGGTGAAAATCATGAATTTCAATCCAGTCTGTATGGTCTTACAATGTCTGTACTTTATACCATTCTAGGATGGCAAATCGAAATATTTACAAGTGACAACTCGAGTACATGGCACTGCTAGCCTGGAGACCTGTATTGAAAAGGATTCTGAGACAAAAGTTGTATCTGAGACAATAGGACTTTATGCCATCATCACTTATCAGCATCGTCCACAGACATAGGGTGGAAAAGTGGTGAAACCAGGTCCAAATCTCTGTCTATACCATTCACCTTCTAAATATATGCTGCAAAAGTACATATGGCTAAATGCTTTGTACATTTAATGGTACTCTACAATTAGTTTTCTTAATTTTTTCTATTATTCAAATATTTTTCCAACTCCTTAAACAACTAACAACTGAAACGAATAAGATTTGTATGTCATTCAAAAGTAAGCACAACAATGGAAACTAATCTATAATGAATTTTTCTGAGAAAAAAAATCTTTCTAAAATGCAAATCTGATGATTACCAGACCTCTTCATTGAGACCATCCCCCCACATCTTTATTTATTTTTAGATGTAGATAGACACAATACCTTTATTTTATTTGTTTATTTTTATGTGGTACCAGGGATTGAACCCAGTACCTCGTGCATGCTAGGCAAACACTCTACCACTGAGCCACAGCCCTAGCTCCCTGTTCCCTCACGTGTTAATCCATTTGGGCTGCTATAACAAAATATCATAAACTAGTTGTTTGTTTGTTTATTTATTTTTGGTGCTGGGGATTGAACCCAGGGCCTATGCATACAAGGCAAGCACTCTACCAACTGAGCTATATCCCAGCCCTAAGCTAGCAGTTTATAAACAACAGAAATTTATGACTCACAGTTTGGAAGCTGGGATGTCTAAGATATAGGCTCTGGAAGATTTAGTGTCAGGTGAGGGCTCACTTCCTGGTTCCTAGATGGTTGCCCTTTTTGCTAAAATTTCATATGGAGAAAGGTGCACAGGATCTCTCTGAGGTGATGGGTTTTTGTTTGTTTGTTTGTGTTTTTGTTTTTGGTACTGGAGATTGAACCCAGGGCCTGGCACATGTTAGGCAAGTGCTCTATTCCCTGAGCTATACGCCCAGCCCTTCTGAGGTCTTTTTTTTTTTTTTTTTTTTTTTTTCAGGGATACTAAAATCACCTATGAGGGCTCGCCCCTCAAGACCTAATCACCTTCTAAAGATCCTACATCCTAATGCGAGACCCGTGGGTTTGAGGATCTCAACAAATGAATTTTGGCAGAATGTAAGCATTGCAGCTCATTGCATACCCTGCTTTCCCCACCCACCCAAAGCTTTCAATCATTTCAGTGGCTTCTTATGGTCCTATGTTCTTAGAATTACCTGGGTATGCTATTTACAAACTCCTGTATGAACTGGCTCCTGCTTACTTAACTCTCTGGTCTCACTCTTATTTTCCCCCTTTCATCATGATCTATTTCCCTACCTACCTCCCCTAGCCTTTGTCCTCCATTCCAGAAGCGATATTAAATTTCCCTCAGATTTCCCATCTCATGCTGTGCCATTGCAGTTCTTAGCCAAGCTGTCACTTGACGAGTACAGAAGCCTTCTCACTGCTGTCCTGAGATACGCAGTCTGAGATAATTACTATCCAATGTGTACTACCTCACTGCATGAATATATTCATGTACTGTCTTGGCCAATTTTCTGTTGTTATAACAAAATACCGGAGGTGCAAAGAAAGAAAGTTGGTTTAGCATATAGTTTTGGAGGTTGAGAATCCAATATTGGGCAGACCCTATCTTGTGAGGTTCCCTTGGCTTCATCATAACATGTTAGAGAAATGGAAAGGGAACTGGCATGTGCAGAATAGGCCAACAGCATGGTTTTAGCAACCTGCTCTCAAAGAACTCACTTAAAGACCAGCATTAATCCCTCTGAGGGCAGTGCCTCCCCTGACGTAATTGCCTTGCTCTGGGCCCTGCCTTTTAAAGTTGCTTCCATGTCAACATCACCACACTGGAGACCAAGTTTCCAGCACATGAAACTTAGGGGGACACACTCAAACCATATTCAAACCATAGCATGTACCAAACCTGTCATTGCACACTGTGGTGACAGTGCAATTTACCTGTTCATATTATACATTAGTCTTTTTTTATTTTATTTTAAAGAAGTTAACCTTTATTTTTTTGTTTGCTTTTTTATGTAATACTGAGGATCAAACTCAGTGCCTCACTGGTGCTAGGCAAGTACTCTACCACTGAGCTACAACCCCAACCCCTATACATTAGTCTTTTTTTTTAAAATATATTTGTTTTTTAGGTGTAGATGGACACAACACAATGCCTTTATTCTTTTTATGTGGTGCTGAGGATCGTACCCGGGTCCTGCCTGTGCTAGGCGAGCAATCCACCACTGAGCCACAATCCCAGCCCAACATTTGTCTTTAAAATGTGCCGAAATCAGGGACTGGGTATGTATTTTCACTATTGCATTTTTAGCACCAACCCAGGTCCTCACATAGAGTAGGGACACAATAAATCTTTATCACATGAATTAATAGATTAAATGTTATTTTGTATTATGATCAGAGATATGAACTTTTTTTTAAAAAAATAGAGTATATAGAAAAAACTACTTCTAGCTTTAAAGATTCTATTTTAATATGAGGGCTTAAAATGAGTTGTATAGGACGATCATTATCTATGTTTGGTTTTAAAGTGAAATGTTTTGCACCAAACCCAAGCATTTTTATTCATTTCTTGTTGTGTACTAAGTTAACATGCAAATTTCAATTGCCAGTTGAGTAGTTCTGTGTGATGTTTTCTTGTTCCTATGTGGCAGACACCCATGGCTTTCTCATTCACCCCATCTGGGCCTCCAGTGTGGTCTAATTATCCTGAAAAGCCAAAATGCGTTAGAGCTGAGCTTGATTACTCTAATGGCACACAATGTTTTCACCAACCTCCGGATTCCTGAATAATTATCATTATCATATTTATGTGTTTAGCCAAAAGCTTAATTGGAAGATTCCAGAATGAAACAATGCTACACAAGGAAAAGAACCTTCCAGTCATTTTCTTGGGGAAAAAAATTTAAATCAAAATACCACAAGTATATCACAAAATTAAACCATCGAATCAAGTGGAAGGGCTCATTCCCAGACTACCCCTCTGCTGCGGTGGTCTTCCAGAGGCAAGTATGTTTAACTCTTTCAGCTGTTTCTGCTGGTGGTTATCATTGTCTCTAAAAATATGTTTATATCATCAGTTCTTGATGCATCTGTTTTAGACATTGTCTATTAATTACAACTCAGATAAATGAAGATTTATCTCACGGGACAAGTATGTAGAGATATTGGGGAGTTCTTTTCCATTCCATAGCTACCTTTATTTGCTCCTTGCAGAGGTCTAGGCTGTATGCATAATAAGGTAGGCCTTCCATATATGGGTGGGGCCTGGCTTTACTATGCATGTGCTGACAGTTACGTACATAACATGAATATTCCCTCTGCCTCCTGGTCTTGTTTTGTTGGTTGACCTTAGTAGGAGACTTTAATGGTGGAGACTTTTTCAAAGTCTGGTGACTAGTGGGAGCACATATGAGAATAATATTGTTACCGCTTTTGACGGGTGGCAAGTCCTTGCTTCCCCAATGTTGTAGAATAACACCAGAGAAGCACACCGAGGCAAGGTCAGAGTGGAAAATTATAAGTTTATTAAAGGATAGCAGAAAAGACTTCTCCCGGAGGAAGAAGGGGACCCAAGAGATGGAATCTGTTGAAGGGCGAATGTGTTCCCCTTTTTATAGTTTTTGGTGATGGAATGTAGGTGGGAAAGCCCGAGGGGTGGGATACAGGTGGGCCAAAGAAGTAATCTGGGCAGGAAGGACTTCTGAGGCAGCATCTTCAAGTTTGCTTGAATGTTCATTAACGTTTCTTTGGGATGGGCTATCTTCAAATCTGCTGGGGGCTGTTTCCTGGACTTCATTAACATTTCAAGAGTTGCTCAACTTTTCCAGGGATTCATTCTCACAGCCTCCATTTTAGATCTCACTTGATATTAGACCTGATTTACCTAACTACACTGACTACCTAATTTTAAATCTGGCTTCAATATCATAAACAATTTGTTTGTATTTATGGTACTTCAGTTAGGACTTCACTTAGGATGATCAGGTGGGAAGTCACTGTAGACATTTAACCAGTGAGTCTTTAAATGACAGACTGTAGAGGTTTGTGGGTATTCAGTTTTTTTTAGCTCGTATCACAAAATTTTTATTTGCAGTTTCAATTTTTTTTTTTAAGAGAAGAACCCCTACAATTTTAAGGTGTGTATGTCAGGCACCCATGGCCACTATATGAGAATGATAGTGAGGAAAGTAGGAAGATTCAGCTCCTTGTCTTATTCCTGCGTTTTTTGTTTTGTTTTGTTTTTTTGGTACTAGGGATTGAACCCAGGGGTGCTTAACCACTGAGCCACATCCCCAGCCCTTTTTATATATTCTTTAGAGACAGCATCTTACCAAGTTGCTTAGGGCCTCGTTAAATTGCTGAGGCTGGCTTTGAACTCACAATCCTACTGCCTCAGCCTCCTGGGCAGCTGGGATTACAGGCATGCACCACCATACTGTAAGAGGAAGAGACCACTAAGAGACCGACTCATGCAACCGCAAAAGGGGGTTTATTGAAGAATCCAGCGCGCTGGGGCTCCGTGCTCACTCAACAAGGGAGAGCGGCCCAGAGCCCCGAGCAGGGGTTGAGCAGTGCTTAAGTACACTTTTTGGGGAGGGTGGGGACTTTATATACATCGCAGTCTCCTTTAACAAATCACCATACAAATCAAACAACAATTCTCAAACATGATTAGTACATTCATTGGCGGGAACAGGTCGGGCGGGAAGTGGGGGTACATTCAAACTGATTGGTTTGGGCCCTGAATGCCTACGTGCCAAACTGCACAGGGTCCAGGTTATTTATCTACTGGACAGTCCCGGGAATTGTTTTAACAGCTACAGGAATTTCAGGTTTTGGGTGTAGCATAGGAACTTAACAATACCTGGTCCTTTACATTTTAACTCAGGCTTTGCAGCTTAGAAACTTTACAATACCCGTTTTTTTTACACTTTAACTTCAATTTCTTTTACTCTTACAGTACTTACTCCCGCCTTTGCTCTACTGGGAATTTATAAGATATGTAATGTGGAGATACAAGGGATGGAGGGTTTCCTACCTCCTTGGCTACAGTTCCCTTTTCCATCTCCCCACCGAGTAATTCCAGTTCTTGTCCTCCTGTGTCTAGAGTTATCAGTTACTGCTACCTCTGTTACTGTGTGTGTATGAAAGAAATATACACAACATAAAATTTATCATCTTAACCCTTTTTCTTTATTTTTGAATTTTTTATTTTGGTAGATGGACACAATACCTTTATTTTATTTATTTTTATGTGGTGCTGAGGACCGAAGCCAGTGCCTCACATGTGCTAGGCAAGCGCTCTGCCACCGAGCCACAGCCCAGGCCCATTTTAACCCTTTTTCATTGTACAGTTCAGTGGCGTTAGATACATTCTCATTATGGTGCAGCCATTGCTCATCACCATCTCCAGAACTTTCTTGTCTTACCCAAATGAACTCTACCTACTAAACACTGACTTCCCATTCTCCTTTCTCCCTGCAGCCCCTGGCGACCACCATTCTACTCTCCATGGGTTGGGCTCATTTAGGAACATCTTATAAGTTGAATCATGCAATATTTGTCTCTTTGAAGCCAGATTTAAAGTTAGGTAGTCAGTGTAGTTAGGTAAATCAGGTCTAATATCGAGTAAGATCTAAAATGGAGGCCATGCTGACAATGATTCCGGGAAATGCAGGACAACTCATGGAATGTTAATGAAGTCCCAGAAAGGCCCTAGGCCAAAGTCCACCCCAAAGAAATGTTAATGGAACCCAGGAAACAGCCCCCAACAGATTTGGAGATAGCCCATCCCAAGAAGTGATAATGAAGTCCTTCCTGCCCAGATTACTTGTTTGACCCACCTGTGTCCCACCCCTTGGGTCTTCCAACCTACATTCCATCACCAAAACTATAAAAGGGGGAGTCAACCGCAATTCCATGGATTCTACCTCTTGGGTCCCCTTCTTCCTCTGGGAGAAGTCTTTTCTGCTGTCTTTTAATAAACTTCTAATTTCTACTCTGACCTTGCCTCGACGTGCTTCTTTGGTGTTATTCTTCAACATTGGGGAAGCAAGGACTCGTCACCGGTCAACAGCGGTAACACCTTTGTGTCCACCCTCTACTTTATAGCATCAACACATTTGTTGAAATTTCTTATCTTTTGATGATTTTCCATCTCTTGTAGCTTTTCATCTTTTACCTCCTTTACTATTACATTAGTAGGTTATTGGGAGTAGAGATCCAACTATAGGGTGAAACTGCTAACTTTAATCAGGAGTTCATTCTTTTTGAGAAGAGAAGATCCCAACAAAGGGACAAACATTGTTTCTTTTCATTTAAATGAGGTCAAACGCACAGAGACAGATGTGCAGTGGCTGCTAGGGAGTGGCTTAGAGTGGGTTGGAGTTTCAGTTTGGGATGATGAATCTGGAGATGGATGGTGATGATGGGACATGAAGTTCTAATTCTGTGACTTCTCAGCCAGGTGTGATGGTATACTCCTGAATGTATATTCTTGTGACAGGGAAATCTGATGCAGGAGATTCACGAGCTCTAGGTCAGCCTGGGCAAGTTAGGGAGACCCTGCCTCAAAATAAAAATTAAAAAGGATTGGGGGTATAGCACCCCTGGGTTTAATTGCCAGTACCAAAAAGAAAAAAGAAGAAATTAATAATAATCCGGTGACTTGGCTTGCAAGATGCAGGCCTCTAACCCCATGCAGAGGAATGTAGAAGGCCAACTCATCTATGAGGAAATTTCAGTGGCAAGAGCACATTAGGCCTGGAAAGGATTCATATGGCTTACTCCTATATCTGTGGGCTTTATAAAATCTTCAAGGAACTAGGTCTGAGATTAGGATGAGACAAAGTAAGCACCTAGGGCACAACATTTAAGGAGGTACTCACTTTTTTTCTTTTCTTTTTCAACATGGGATCAAACCCAGGGCTTCTCAGATGTGAGGCAAGCGCTTTACCACTGAGCTGTATCCCAGCCTGGGAGGTGTGCACTCTTAAGGTACAAATCCCACAGAGAGAGAGGACTACTCCAACACACTGCCACCTCTGCAGGGAAGTCCAGATGAGATTTGTGTATTAGTTAGGGTTCTCCAGGGAATCAGAACCCATAGGATATATATAGATTATAAGAAGAGATTTCTTACAGAAATTGGCTCATGTGATTATGGAGGCCGAGAAGTCCCACCATCTGCTGTCTGCAAGCTGGGGATCCCGTGAAGCCTGGATGGTAATTTAGCCCGAGGCTGAAGTCTTGAGAACCGGGAAGTACACAAATGGATGGTGGGTGAGGCATAGCCTGAGAACCTGGAGCTCTGGTGTCTTAGGGTAGGAAAGATGGACGTCCTACTCTCAGGGACAGGGGGGAGAGAGAGAGGTGGGAATCCGCCCTTCCTTGTTGTGTTAGCTTTCCTGGTACCTGAGATAGTAGACTTAGAAAAGGTTTATTTTCAAAGTTTTAAAGGTTTCAGTCCATGAACAATTGGCTCCATTGCTTAGGGTCTGTGTGACCCCAAACCAATCACTTCATGTCAGGAAGCAAAAAAGAGAAAGAGGAAGGGGCCAGGGACACATAGTCCCCTTCAAGGACATGACCTAAAGGTCTCCCAGGAGGCCCACCTACTAAAGGCTCCACCACCTCCTAATAATGCCTCCCTGGGGAACAAGCTTTCTTTTTCCTTTTACCACTTAGACCTTGGGAGATGCTAAGGTCCCAACTAGAGCTGTTGCCTCTTTTTTCTACTCTGGGCTTCTGTGGTTAGATAATGCTTGCTTATACTGGTGAAGGTGCTAGTTTTAACTTAGTCTACTGATTCAAATGCTAATCTCTTCCAGAAATCTCTCACAGACACATCCAGAAATAATGCTTTATCAGCCTCCTGGGCACCCCTGATCTCAGTCAAGTCCATTGAGTTCACTATCCCAATCTGTCAAAGGAAAGCCGAGTCATGACAGCGTTAGGATCCTGATCTAAAGATGACTTTGCATGTTGTGAGATAGTAACTAGCACATGAATGTCACTGTCAGCAAACTTCTCTTATAAGCATTTTGCCATTTCACACCACCTATGTTTAGAGTTGAGAATCAGTTTCACATGTTATTCCCTTTTTGGTGGAGAAACTAAGGACAGGGAAGGTGATAGTCTTGACCTGAGGTAGTCAGTGATTGAGCCAAGACCTGTACCCAAGTTTTTAAGTTCAAACTGCACTACTCCCCACCTGGACTGGGGATCATATCCAGGACTTTGTGCATGCTAGGCACATGCTCTATTATTGAGCTACATCCCCAGCTCCCAATTTCACTTCTTTTTATGAAAGCAGCCATTTAGAAGAGAAACTATTGTACTCAGTAACTGACTCAGTTCTACCTCCTTTTGCACAAAATTTCTGTTTTGCCCAGTCTTATATCTTGACAATTTTTTTTTTTTTTGTGGTCCTGGGAATTAAACCAGGGGTGCTTTGTCACTGAGCTACACATCTTGCCCTCTTTTTAAATTTTATTTTGAGC